GGTTGAACAACCAAACTCCTACTCTTTCCAGCTCACATCCTATAAAAGATCTGGTTTGACCTGGTTACTTACACCAAACATTTCACTTCTATCTTCATGCACAGGTTTCTTTAGCACTCATTTTACATTTTAAAAAGCCCACCATAGGTGAGTTGGGGAAGGACTTAAATATTTGTGTTTCCTAACATGGTCTGTAGTAGAAACCTGTAAAATCACATTAGCATAGTGTATTATTTGCTGTGGATAAAGTGTAACAGTCACATCTGTACACGCATTAGAAATGTAATACATGTTTACTCTGGTGCGAACCTGTAAAGCCACTAGATGGTACTGTTTGGCTGTCATAGTCTATGTGAATACTCTCGAATTTGTTTTGGTTTCTGAACTACACTACAGTGAAATAACAATTAAATACATTGATTTAAATGATGACTTTCTTTTTAATAGCTCATATTTGTCTTTAGAGAGGTCTGTGGTTAACGCTGCTATTTGTTGCTTTTTCAACTCCTTTGTTGTTGCTGTAGATGTGGTGGCTTTAAATCTTGGAGCTTCACAGCTGAAATATTCAACTCTCACCCCAGGTGAAAGCTTGCCATGAATGAACCACAAGTGGAAGGTTTCTATTGGTGGAAAATGTCTTAAAACACTAGAAAAGATGTTGTCATGAACTCTGTTTCAGTTCACTCTGTGTGTCTGTTGGAGAGTTTTGTGTTGGCAAATTTTAAATGTTATTTGAAAACACAGTGCAATTGGTTTCCTAATGATTTAAAATAAATATTAATATGCTAATCTGTGTAGAAATAGGTGCTCAGAGAACTACTGTAAGTAGTGTAGACTGTTACACCTGCAACTCAGTTTATTTGTCCTCACAGACGCAAATGATCAGTTTACAACATGTCGCTTCAAATACATAATTATGAAAAAAAGAGTAGTTTTAAGTCTTTTTGCCATGAATTGTCCTGAATTCTCAGTGAGATGATTTATATCATATGGTAAATATTAAAGATTAAAAATATTAAAATACTTTATTTATATTTATTCAATTGCTATTTATATACTCAAAAGATAACAGCAAATATAATAAACAAAACATCTAACAATAAAAGTGTAAAAACTGAATAATGCAGCAATTGTGAAGTAAGTAAGTCTAATATCACTGAATCAGACAGTCAAGAAGAAACTAAGGAAACCAAATTTAATGAAGAACATGAAAAGTCAAAAAATACGAAACTAAACAATCAAAGAAGTTTACCTCAGAGTGAAATCTTTAAGTTATGATTAAATCTTATTCAGCAGAACAAATAAAATTGTATGTCTCATTGTCTCTCTGACTGACCCACTCATACTGTCCTCCTCTCATCATGCCCACAGCCCTGCCACACTCCTCAGTCTTTCCCTCTCTGCTCCACTTCTCATAACAGACCACCTTGTCATTGATCCAGAACCACAGATCCAGAGTGCAGGAGTAGCGCAGGCCGAGCCAGACATAAGGACTCGATGCATTCTTGGCTTTGTATTGGACCCATCCCTGCTCTTGAAGGTTAGTGATGGAGACCAGTCCCCTGTGAGACTCTCTGCAGTAATCCAAGGCCTCCTTCCAGGTCTTGTTTTCTTTGATCAGGATCAATTTATCTGCCATAAAAACAAAATAACAGGTTCAATTGAATCTATTGAACTGTACAATTGAGAAATTCTATTAACTGTTTATTTTGTTCTAAAAAAAAAACAAACTATGGAAAGTTTGTGTGTTTCTCTACCCTCAGTAGAACGAAGTGTGATAATAGTAACAATCCTCACTCAGGTCAACAAGATCCTCAAATATTCAACTTCTTTACAGACAAGAGAGACTTTAAAAAAAGTGGTTCAACAGTTGCTGTAAGTTATCCCACAGATAATTAAAGTGATTTGGCTGCATTCATAAACTCATAAATTCATTCATGTCTTAGAAATTCATTTGTAAAAGAAAATCATACATCATCCATAAATAGGTTGTATAAACATATACAACATGTTCAGCTGGATCTTGTCAGTGATTCCAGTGATCCTCCTTTTAGAGAAACCAGTCAGACACATGTTGATAAAAACTCACCATCATAACAGAAGAAGGGTTTTTCTTTGTCACATTCATCAGAGCTCCAGTTTCCTGATCTGTTTAACAGAGTCATAGCACATGTCTTGTTGCTTTGTTCATCATTGAATAACTCCATATCCCAGTATCTGAAAGAGGAATTACTCCCATCTGACCACCTCCAGCTGTCTCTGAACAGACCGACCCATGCTCTAAAAGGAGTTGCCTTCGACTTCATAAGGGCCTCAATTTCTTTTCCATCTACCTGATCGAGTCCACTGGCCAAGTCAGTGTGATTATATCTGCAGTAGCTCTGAGCCTCTGTCCAGTTCTTCTTCTCCTCAATCAAATATGTTTTATTGTCTTTCTTCATTCCTGTGAAACCAACATAAAAAAACACACAAAGACATCCCCCAATAATTTATCTTTAGAAACCCTCCACCTTTTTAATCACATGTGATAACATCACATTTCATACTTTTTATTTATTTTCACATCTCCTCACCATCATAGCAGATGAACCACATAGTACTGTCACATGAAACATCTACCAGCTTGTCTCTTTTCCTCACACAGTTTCCAGGCCCA